CATTCAGCACCACGAGAAGATGGGCGGCTCAAGTGACACACCAGCAGGAGCCAAGGGAGTGACAGGAGAGCAGCGGTCCTCCGGGCGTGGGCTCCAGCCTCGTGCAGATCCATGACCCTGGTGGTACCAGAGTGCAATAAAAAAGCATGGAAATCGAGGGTTACTCTTTAGAAACTTTTATAGCAATAGTAACTCTACTGTTGAATTTAAAAATAAAGAACAAAATTGGGCTTGTATATTTTGTCTTTTTTATTTTATTTAGTAATCCAATTTTATTTAGCAATTCACCTTTATAGTATTTCACAAAAGTATGTATGGAATGCATTGGAAAAAACAAACTTCCTCACAGATAGTTTGAGAAACACTTTCTATACTGGAAAAAAAGAATGTGTTGCTGTTAACATTAAGGATATAACACATTTTTCAAAAGAAATGTCTTTTTATGGACATTGCAATTTTATTTTGATAAAGAGGCGATTATGGGGCCTGGTCAGTTACTCGCTGTCAAATTACTATGCTTGGCCAGAATGAGAGAGCTGTTTTAGTCATTTATTTTTTTTCCTTGGGTTTAAGCAACTTTTAAATATCAAATGCTATTTCACGCTGCAGGGGTGTGACAAGAAAATTCTGTTTAAATGGCTAAATCGTTGCTGGGACATTATTTTAGGGGGGAAACAGCAATCCTACGGAAAACATGTCGATTGAGTTGCTGTGCAACCAGATGGAAACGTCAGGATCTTCCTCCACTTGAGATGCGGGGACCTGCGCGCTGGGGCGTGAGAGGAACTCGATTTACAATTCGAAGGAAAACCGGCAGTAAAATAATTGAGAGCCGGGACGCAATCTCACTCCTGCCAAATTGCTTTCCTCCATGCGTGCTCCATTTAGGGACGCTCTTTGGATTCTTACATTTAGTTTGTGCATATTTTCTTTCCCCCGGTGAATATTCTGTCCTGTTGGATGAGGGCCGTTTCTCTGCTGTGATCAGCAAAAGAGAATTTCCAAGTTACCCAGCCCGGGATTGTGCCTGGAGCTTCATAAACAGGAAAGTTTGATATGTTTTTAAGTGCGAAGGCGATAAGCTGGCTGTTAATGAGAATGTTGTTGGTCCCCAAATTGCAAAAACAGGGGTTCCTTTCAAATAAGCTTTAATTTGAGTTCACGGGAATCAGACATGTGAAGGCTGATTGCAAATTGTAGGGAGTTGGTTCAATATTTGTTAACAACCACCACTACTGCTACCACAATTAGAATTTGTGACAAGAGATTTAATGAATATCGACCTGGGTGTTGCTTATGGCTTGCTTTCCCCATGAACTATTCATACACAAAGAAGGCCTTCCCCTCTTACCTAGGATTGATTACCTCCAGGAATTCATCTTATATTCATGGCTCATACATAAAATGTGTGTGGGGTTGTCACTTAATTCGTTCCCTGAGTCACATCAACGTTGAGTCATTTATTTATCATTTTTGAAAGGCAGTGACAGAATTTGGCTGAGAAGTTTGGTTCTTATGCCATCGTTTTGCCCACGGGAGAGTATTCTTCTGCCTTCCACAAGAGCAAGAATTTAAAGATCAAAAATACCTTTATATTGAAATATTGAGAGGCCATCTTACTTTTACCTTTCCTGCTCACATTAGAAAATATGTTTGCTCACAAGAAATGCGATCCGAACAGATTTGTTTTCGATTGCCTCTGACACATTGATGAGCTGGAATCGAAATTCCAATGCTCTCTGAAGGGAAGGCGTAAAAAAATATCATTTGGGGGGAAGAACAGAGGTATTGAAAAGTAAGCAGAAATAGACAATGCAAATGAGCTTTGAGCCAAGAGCTTGCTTGTTTTAAATTTAAATTGGCTATAAGCCAGGGCCACTTATACCCTGGGTATCCAGAGGAGGGTGGAGATAAATGTGTAGGGAATTATTATTTCAAAATAATACATCTACAGAACCACATCTGTAAGCTCTAAAATGGATAGTCTCTGACTTTCCTGGCCAGACATTTGGCCCTGGTGACCCCGGTCTTCCTAATATCGATCAGCACTGGCACTACTGTGTTTTCCTCCCCTCTCCTCAGTTTGCATCAAGAGGCCTTTTGTTCTTCAAAGTAAAAATAAATGTGTCTTTGTTATTGTCTAAGTCACACCACAGTTCTGCATTGCTCTGTGACAACACACACACAGACACACACACACACACACACTAACAACCGAGTATTTTAAGAGCAGTGAATGACAAATCGTGGGTTAGAAGTTAAATCACGTGTGGTTGTGCACACACATGCACATACACACATTCAGATGTGCACACACACATACACCCACTCACATCCACACCCGCACCAGAAACCTCCAACTAAGGTGATAAGAACTGGTCAGTTAAAGCAGATTACCCTAGAAAACCATGTGATTTTAACTTAAAACACATCTATGTGCCTTTATTTCCCCACCTTCTGATGGGAAGGTTTGTTGTTTCTGCTTTTTGTTTTCCCCATCAAGTGCAGGTTTCCAAATGCTTTCCAAAAGCCAGCGAGGCTTTCCTCGAGTGGAGGTCTGATGATTAGAGGGCCTCCACTGTTCTTGCACAAACTACGCTGGTCAGAAATCACCCGCCATATCCAGCTCAGGTTTCTTTAAGTGGCGTGAGTGCAGGGCACCTGTGTAGCCACCTGTGTCTAGAAGCAGCCTGGACTCGCAATGTTTTGTTTTAAAGCCTTCACAAAATATTCTCTTAACACACCTGACTTTCAGCACTGCTTAGCAGTCCCCTTTTATCTAGTCTTTCCAAAGGATTCAACTTAGTTTTTTTGTCTGTTTGTTTGTTTTTAAATATATCTTTCTTGATCTCAGAAAGAGGAAGTGAGAGGGGGAGAGAGAGAGAGAAATATCAATGATGAGAGTCATTGATCGGCTGCCTCCTGCACGCCCCGGACTGGGGATGGAGCCCGCAACCCGGGCATGTGCCCTGACCGGGAATCGAACCGTGATCTCGTGGATCCTAGGTCGATGCTCAACCGCTGAGCCACGCCTGGCCGGGCTCAACTTAGATTTTATGGAAGGCACTCTCTTTTTGAACTAACCTTACATTGGCTTAATATAATTTCACTAGATTTTATCATTCTAATAACAAATGATACTTGCATAAAGAGCTATGGAAGAAAACTCAACTAATGCTTGGAGCATTCAAAATCAAGTGTTTCTAACAGGTATGCATAGACATTGCAGTTACCTACCAGCTTCCAGCTTTCAAAATCCACCCATCATTTGTCAATAATTTTGCAAAGAGATTGGAAGTAGTTTATTTAACCCTTGTTTCCTGATCTCTAAAAAGCTCAGAATGAAATTTGTGACACATTTCCGGATATTTATAGAATGTGAGGGTTTGAACTTTTTCCCTACCTTGACCTTTGACTTCATCTTTTTTTACATTTTTTTTTTTTACGCTCACATATTTTCTTTTCGTGTCCCGTTAGACCAGGGGAGCCCCAATCTTTTGCTAGACTGTCAATGTGATTGTGCTTGATAGGTGTTTGTTTTTGCTGTTGTGGGCATAGTGTGGTCCATGTTCTGCAAGATTCATGTTGTGAAATTAGCACCCCAGGAATAATGTACTTAGTCAAATTTATCCTTGAACATCCCTTGAGAAGGCTCTATGGCTAAGCCCCACCCATCATCTCAGCAGAGGTCTAAAACCCTTAGTTTTCCCATCAGCTTTGGGATAGGTCAAGACTATGTTGAGTGTCAAGTGAAGTAGGTTCACATGTCTTCAGGGGTGTGTCTAACAAAACATAGGTATGTCTAAAACTAGAGAGGTGTGGGATGGTCACACTAGGAGAGAGGCTCATGGGAACTGACATTTACACCTGTCACCTGAGGGATTTATAGCACATTGTGCCTGGTGTTATTTATGTGTGCATTCCTCCCTTATGGGTTAGCTAAGGCTCACCTTTCTGAGAAAATGGAGACAGAAACTCATTATGTTCCCTTTCCACATATTCAATATGATGCGCTATGAAACTTTTACAGAGGTAAAGTCAGATGAAAATGGAAAACCTTTGCTTGCATTTCCAAGCCAGTAAGAACACTCTCTTAATGTTTCTAAGTTGGTGTTTCAAAAATTAACTTCACTATTTCAAGTTTATAAGCTAGTTCTTGGGTGGTCATGCTGCTGATGTGAAAATGGACTCATTTTCTCATGTGGTGGTTCTTAAATTGGACTAATTTCTTCAAACATTAAACTTTTAGAGGCATTTGTGCATTTGGATTATCAGGGCCCGCTCTTCTTGTATTAGCTGGTAATCTTTAAAATATAGGCTTCCTAATTTATTAGTAACATCACACCTCTTAATAACAGAGTGTTTATGTTTCACACATGTCCTATTAATAAACTAATAAACTGTTAGTCTTCAAAATAGACCTGCACTTAATTTCTGGATTAGTGTTTTTCTTGGTTGACTATCAATGCAAGGCTGTTATTTTGTGGGGTTCTTTTTTCCCATTTGTGACTACTTTTATTTTATTCAAGATGCCTGAACTGGAGTCCATTTTTAGTTCAGACAAATTTGGGAATGTAACATTTGACACTTTTGAGACTTGACGCCTGAGGACACCTGATTTGTTTTTAATGAGACATCATTGCATAATGCTTTAGGTTTTAGAGTGTGGGCTTGGCTCTCCTGTTTACTGAAATGGGACCTCAGGCTGTTTATTTAACCTATGCACCTCAATCTCCTTATCTATAAATGTGCCTATTAGTAGCAGTATCTCCCTCATGTGGTTATTATGAAGATTAAATGAATCATATATTTAAAGCACTGAATCAGTTCTCATATGTTATGAGTTCTCAATAGATTCTTAATAATGTCAACCCGGCTGTATACATGGGAATGGGATCCACAACAGTGGATGCCCAGTAAATACCAAATGACTGGGTACAATGAGTCGTGGTGCCTTGTGTTCTGGTCTTTCACCTCCGCCCATCTCTCCACCCGTGCAGGTGGCCCCAGCCATCAAGGAGAAAATGATGAAGAAGGGAAGCCTGATGCTGGGCTACCAGCCCCACCGGGGGAAGGTCAACTTCTTCCGCCAGGTGGTGATCAGCCCTCAAGTGAGCCGGGAAGACATGGACTTCCTCCTGGATGAGATAGACCTCCTGGGCAGAGACATGTAGCTGTGGCTTTTGGTCCCCCAGAGGCACGGGTTCTGTCCCTGGGAGGGTTACAGATCCAGGGTGTCTGGGGACACATAGGCGATTACAGCCTTTCTGATGAGAAATAGGAAACATACCCCATCCAGTCCCAGCAAAACCAAAATGCTAAGTGAATAGTGTTCAGGACTCTAGCTGCCTGGGCACTACTGTAGCTATAAAAGAGGAAATGAAAAATGGATTTTCTCAAGGATTGTCCCTGGGACAAAGAATCATAGAGGGTTTAGAAAGTACCATGTGGTGCCTGGAATCTAAGCGTTCGTTGCTCTTTAGAGAACTTATAAATTAATACTTTAAAGCTGAGGTTCTCTAGACAAGCAGCATGAGCATCACCTGAGGACTTGTTTAAAATGCAGATTCTTAGCCCTGCCTCAGACCTACTGAATCTGAGACTCTAGCAGTAGAGCCCAGTCTTCCTGCTGGATTTGAAGGAAAGGAACCTTCCCCATGGTTCTGAGACAAGGTAAGATCTGAGAATCAGCGGTTTAGTGAAACCTTGTAATGACTGAAGAATCGTTTTGATGTTTTGCCAGCAAAGGAATATCTAATATTTCAGTGGTCCCTGAGCCAGTCTTTGAAAATAGAGCTGTGGCATCGATAGCACAAATGTTTAGCTGCATCAGAAGTATATCAAAGCTATTTTTTAAAAGAGAGACTATATAAGATGCTTACTTTATAAAGATGTATCTTTTATGCAGGCTGAATGTTTATTCTCAAAAGTTGAAATGAACTGTTATCTATTCTAAATTACTTAGAGGTAAGGAAAAAAGACAAACACTTTGTAGCATGGCCCTTTAAATCAAAGCAATAGTCCTAATTCGCTTCTGAAAGTCATTGCACTGTTAGTTTGGCATGGACATTAGATATATATGTCTCTAACTATGTACCTCGTTTAGCTTGAGGGGCCCATTTCTTAGCTTGCTCTCGGCTTGTAGGATAAACCAGAATGCAGTCCACGGCGATACATTCCCTTTCTCAAGCTTTGAAATGTCAGTGTAGACTATTAAGTGGTTTATATCGAGCAGAGAATCTGGGAATTAGAGGCCTTTCAGTGCAAACACTGCCTCCATTTGCCCACTGGGAGTAGGTGACGGTAGTTCTGCCCCTTATCCTGCCCCTAGATTTCTTGGATAATCTTATTTGACTAAGAAATAAGCAAAATCAGAGGTGCGGTTGCGGAGTTCCACTAGGTAAAATTATGAATCTAACTGGAGCGTCAATTTGGAAGGCAAATGATTGGAGAGTGGTCAAGTGTTAGACTTAGCACATTCAATAGCCCTTTGGTACTCCATTGTGTCTTTTAAATTTTGAAAATCAAATATGTACTCTTTGCTTTTATTCCATATTTTCATTTGAGGGTGTGTGGTTTCTTAATATCTCCACTGGTCAAAGAATTACTTCAGTTTCTGGTGTTAGGTATTTGTGTGTGCACGTATGTTTTGCATTTCTCGTTGCCTTTTGTTTTAGTCTCTTTATAACGTGTTGCTGAAATTGATGTTTGCGATAATTTGGGTTTCATGAAATAAAAAGCAACACTGGCACACACTTAGTGTTGTTTTCTTTTCCTCTCATCTCCTCTTTACTAAACTGTACCAATACGGTTTAGAAGTGGTATGGTCTCGGTTGGCATTTTAGCTAAATAATTGAGAGACTAGTAGGTTGCAAGCTGGTTTTTGTTAACACCTTGAATGAAATGGAAAGAGCAGTTGGAGCAAAGTGTGGATTTGCCTCTTGTTTAGTCTTTTAGGCAAGGCATGGGAAACTCAATAGCCACAGCTCAGCTGAGCCTTTTTTTAAGAGATGAAAGTTCCTTGATCAATTAAAAAGCAGCTGCTACCAGGTAGTTTCAAAAGTCCATTTTGTTCTTTAAATGTCAAGATATACAACACAATCAGGTATTGACTGAATAGTCAAGAGTAACTTTTGGATCAAAGGTTAGTTATAATTCATTCACTCATTAAACATATTGATAGTTGCCCTACTCTGTTCCAGGCACTTATCTCAGTGCTGGGGACATGCAGTGAATGAAATAGAAAAAGTCCCTGTTCTTCTGCAGCTTCAAATGTAGTTGCGGCAAACAATCAACAAATATATAACAAGTCAGGCGGTAATAAGTAATTTGAAGAAAACTTAAAGAGAGTAAAGAAGGTATGAAAGTGAGAGCGGGGTGTGCTTTTGGAGAAAAGTGGGTAGGCAGGGCCTCTCTGTAAGGCACCACGTGAGTGGAGACGAAGAAGGTGAGGGAGAGAATCGTGTGGGTACCGGGGGGCAGGGTGTTCCAGGTGGAGGGTATGGTATGCCAAAGGCCTGAGGAGCTGCATTCGTGGTTCTCCCAAGGACCGGCATGGAGGTAAGCATGGCTTGAGCCGACGGAATCGCTGGGCAAGTGGTAGGTGAGGAAGTCAGAGAAATATCTGCGAGTCAGTGCGCCGGGCCTTGAAGGTGAGGACCTAGAGTTAGATGGAAAGACGCTAGAGAATCTGAAGAAGGCATTGAGTGATTCAACTTGTATTTTTATTTTATTTTATTTATTATTTTTATTAAATTTTATTGGGGTGACAATGGTTCATAAAACTGTACAGGTTTCAAGTGTATAGCTCAACAAAACGTCATCTGCACACTGCATCATGCACCCATCGCCCTAAGCAAAGTCTCTTTCCATCCCATTCCCCCCACCCTTTGCTACCTCCACCTACCCCCGCCCCCCTTTTCCTTTGGCTATAACCATACTGTTGTCTGGGTCTGTGTTTTATATATATGTTTATTTATTTATTTATTTTTGGTTAATCCCTTCACCTTCTTTCATCCATCACCCCTACACCCTTCTCCTCTGACAGCTGTCAGTCTGTTCCATGTATCTATGCCTCTATTTCTATCTTGTTCATTAGTTTATTTTGTTTATTAGATTCCACATATAAGTACGATCATATGGTATTTGTCTTTCTCTGACTGGCTTATTTCACTCAGCGTAATAATCTTCTAGGTCCATCCATGCTGTCACAAAAGGTAAGATTTCCAATTTTTTTATGGTGGAGTAGTATTCCATGGTGTAAATGTACCACAGCTTTTTTATCCACTCTTCTATTGACGGGTACTTGGGCTGTTTCCAGATCTTGACTATTGTAAATAGCTGCAATAAACATAGGGGTGCGTATATTCTTTCGAATTAGTGTTTTGGGTTTCTTCGAATATATTCGCAGAAGTAGGATCACTGGGTCAAAAGGCAGTTTCATTTTTAATTTTTTGAGGAAACTCCGTACTGTTTTCCATAGTGGCTGTACCAGTTTGCATTCTCAACTTGTATTTTGGAAGGATCACTTGGAATACTGCTGGAGAGTAGGGCGTATGTGGGCAAGAGTGAACTCGGAGTGACCAAATAGGAAGCAATAGCAACTGTTCGAACAAGAAATCATGATAGTTTATACTACGGTTATAGTGAAGGAAGCAGTGCTGAGGCCCAGTTTTGCAGGTATTTAAAGGTAGAGTTGATGGAGTTGGCTAATTAAGTGGAGTGTTCAAAGAGAAATGAGGAATTAAGAATACTTTCATATGTTTCTGGCCTGGACAACTGCCTCCTTACTGCATCCATGCAGTGATTCTGGGCATTGTCCAATCTGCCCACCAAACTATAACCAGATTAAAACAAAAAACTGATCCTATCTTTCACTTTCTTAAAAATTTTCAATGACTTTGTTTGTTCTTGGGATTGAAAATTGCCAACTTTGTCAAAAGACCATCAAAAACTTCTTGGTTAAGCAAAGCTAAGTTAATTAGCCCTACTGAGTACGGGAGAGCATTGCCTTGAAAAAAATCTTCGTGGTGTTTCACAAGGGGGAAGTTGGGGGATGATATTTACATGCTTCCGGTCTGTGCTCAAGGGGCTTAAGGTGGGTCTTTCAAGGCAAACTGATTGGGACACAGTTCATCAGGTAATATTTTAGGATTGGTGGGCACAGCAAGGTGAGAATCTTGACACAAGCCCCGATTAATAAGTTGTCCTGTGATAAGCAGGCTGTTTCTGCAAGTGAGCACTCTTTTGTCCTGATGGGAGAGATGAGTCAAGAGTTTGTCTAGATAAATTGGTTGGCAGGAATTTGCTAAAGCAAACAGGAGCATTGTTCATTGGTTTCCAGTCTTAACTTTCTGAGCTAGAATCTCCTGAGACAAACGGTTAACTCATGTTGACATAAGTGATCTCAGCCCTGATAGGTGAGCTGTAGAGACGCAAGTGAATTCAATTCTCAGGATAAAGATCATGTTCTGCACGTGGCTGCCGAGGCCCAGCACCCTTCCAACCCCCATGCCGTTTAGCATCGCGATGCTTCCCTCCTGCTGAGGGCAGAAAAATGAGTCTTCTTTCAGATCCCACCCCCTTCTTTACCCTGCACATCAAACCTTTGGATGTAATGCTCCCTTTTTCTTCAATGCTATTTCCCTCTTCACCTAACTAAATATCTGCTTACAGCTCATATTTCAGATTGATTCTCGGTTTCTTAGAAATGCCTCTGTCTGCCCTCCAGCTCTCCAAAAGGGACTCTGCACCAATATAAGCTCTCTGTAATTTTCTTAAAATATGCACATCACTCTTTGCAATTATATATCTCTGTGCATTTAAAAAATTAAGATTTAATGTCCACTGGAGACTTAGTACATAATCATCACTCAATAGATAATTGTAAAAATAAGGAAGGTTGGCAGGGAGGTGCATTAATTTGCCTTTGGAGATAACTTCTTTATTTAGGGGAACATTTGGCACATAAAGGTAAAACAGCTAACCCATGTCTTAGAGGAAACTCTAACCTTTAATTTTAAAACATATGCTACAAACCGTGATATTGTATGTTCAGGATAGTAAATGTGCCCCGGAAGGAAAAAAGAATGCTTCTCCTGTTGTCTGCATGGTTATCCTCTGTCATTTAATCACACCTGTATTATTGACTGTTAAACTTGTGAATGCTGTTTGAGTTTAAATTCAGCATTAGCATTTTAAGAAATCACATTTAGTATCTGTTAGTGAAGATGTACAATTTGTGAGTGTTTTCATTTCTTCCCACAATACTCATATGTAAAGGGTATAATTTCCTAACACAGAATCTGTGTTGTCAACGTAAAACTTGTCTCATTAAACAAAACCACAGGTCTTGCCTGCGTGACAGCTTCCTCCTGAACTCTCTGTGGCAAGAGCAGAGGCATTCCTTGCAGGAGCCGTGACTCAGCATGGTCCATAGGGGAGCTGATGTGCAGGCGCATTCTAACAAAGCTGGTTCTGTTGCAAAGGCAGGGTCCATTCCCCAACCAGAAAGAGTTGGAGAAAATATACTGCTTCCCTGGTTTGAGAAAGATTTTCAGCTGATGCCATTCAGTCCCAAACAAGTTCAAGTGTGGAGGCCGGGAGTCTGAAAGGATTTCAGCTAAATAGGACCACCATTATCTTTCTAGGCATCCCTTCCCCACCCTCCTACTTGAAGGGATCCCGAGTACCCTGAGCAATGAAAAGGGCTTACCCACACAAGACTTCAGATAATGAACCGTAGTCTGTATTTTATTTTTAAATGCTTTAGTATATACATTTAATATATATGTGTGTGTATATGATAACTTGAATATACTTTGCTAGGATGGGTGGCTGCTCCAATCTCAAAAAATATTCCAGGCTCATATACAATCACAAGTCACACTCCAGAGACTGTAAATTCAAGAATTTCACCTACCTTTATTTATTAATAAGCGAAGTTGTATTATCATGATGGATGTACAAATAGGTGTTTGCTGGTGAAATTGCTTGTGTTCAAGATGCGTGAGTGGGCTACAAATATTATGAAAATTTTATTTTCACATGAACAGAATCCAGCTGACTCAGAAGTCTGGGTCCTTCAAAATGGTATTCGAGGCCTGCTCCTAAAAAAGAGTCTGGGTACTGATTTGAAAGATTCTGGTTGTTGACTATCAACTGCAAAATTGCACTTAAAGAGAGATTTGGGATTTTTTTGAGGTTATGGAATAGTCGGTGTGATTTCTTTAGTGCCTTCTACAACTTGCTTTTCATTAAAACCTGCTAGTGAGGTTGTTGGGGAGTACTGTAGCCTTGATTTGCTTCTGACCATTGGAAGCTACTGATTCCCAAAAGAGTCTGTTCATCACGAAGGGAAAATTTGACTTAGGTTAATTCACAGCAGATGAGGCCCGAGAAAAATCTCTGGGGGCACTGGAGCCACTCCTTGTTGAAATTCAGTGGGCAGCAGGCTCCTATGAATGGAGCTTCCCACCAGATACTTAGTGTGGGGAGACCCGTGATGCTTATGCGAGTAGATCCTGGAGGTTCTGGAGTTTCTGACGTTGTGTCCACATTGTTCCCATGGGCTGACAATTTAAGGCCCCACTCTAATGAGGTCTAGGTGTTCTCAGGATTATGACTTCATTCCAGCCTGCGTGGTTCCTCCAGGTCTGCAGCACACTGGCCCCAGCCCCATGAACATTGGTCTGTGTCATAGTCCCTTTATCTTGCTGCAAGTAGGGAATTTTGA